TACCTCATGTACTTGTCCCTACAGGTCTCCAGAAACTTCTCTATTTGGGTGTGTGTGGGGGGGTGATATGGTCCAACTGGTACAGCACACGAGGCTGGAAGGAAAATGCCAAGTGCACAGTCAAGACTAGCTGCATCTGTGAAACACTGTGTCCCACCAGTCTGGGAAGGCCGTACCTCTGCTGTGCCTTATTGTTGTTGCCATATTTATCTCTGGTTTTCTTGATCTTCTCAGACACCCCTTTAGTGAATGCTTTTATTTCCTGAAAAGATTACAGAACACACATCAATTGTACGATTCTCAATGATTTGGACAGCACCATTCCATAATCTCCAACAAGGGACACAGGGTTCCATATCTTAGCAACTGCTAAATACACAGCATCAAGGATGCAATGTGGGTCTTGGTTCTCTTACACAGTGCTTGTAGGAGCCTGCCACTCTGGGGAAACTGACCCTCTGCTTAAGACATGGCTAGGTCTCATTACCCAACCTTTTCCCATGAGTGATCTTAGGCCCTGATCTCAGCCACATAGTTGTGGGAAGGAGCTTAGCATAGCTCTGGGACTTTATGAGGCATACATTTCCACTCAGAGTATGCATGCCTCTACCTTAAAGGCTTCTTTGGAAGTATTATCAATCACTCTGAACATGACTGTCTCTGTCCTATGGTTACAGCTTCTCAGAGTGGTTTGGGCTAGTCAACTCTTTTCTTTTTTTGGTTTTATGAGACTAGCTCAGGTGGTGCTGGAACTCACTTTGTACACCAGGAAGGCCTTGAACTAAGATCCACCTACTTCTGTCTCCCAGTACTGGGACTTAGGTTGTGCACCACCAGGTCCAGCTCATCTCTTTCTTTATATTGAGAAGGGATGAGACATGGAGGATAACGCTGCAGTTCAGACATCTTTCTAGACAGAAATGATTTCATTTAAGAAAGAACTTTATTAAAGTAAGAATGAAAGTCTCAGAAAGGGCTAGAGAGATGGCTCAGTAGCTAAGAGCACTGATTACACTTCCAGAGGATTCAGGTTCAATTCCCAGCACCCACAGATTCAAAACAAAATGTAAACCCTCATGGAACACCATAATGAAGGCCCCCAAAAGGAATGGGAAGACAACACAATGGGTTTCTGATCTGTGATGGAAAGATGCTGCAATCTGAGACATATGGCAGTCACTAGTGACAGATGTTCAGAATGGCTGCAGAAGGAATACGAGAGGGGACGTGGGTGGTGACAGGGCTCACACAGTCCAGCTCTCTAGGTTCTTTCTCCTAATAGGAAGACAAGACATTAATTCTTCATGCTGGCTAGTGAGATACTGTCCAGGACACAACAAAAACCACACTAAGACCATGGCTTACAAAATGCACTGGGAGGCACTTGACAGACCACATTCTTACCACCACAGGGCAGAGCCTACCTGCAGGAAGCTGTCTTGGCAACAGAGGAACTCGTTCTTCTTCATGATGGCCTCAGTGGTCAAGGTGAGCTCGTTCTTACTGAGAGCAGGTTCGCTCTGACATGGAAACACTGCCTGAGTACAGAAAGGACATGGGTTACATATGCCTGGTGAGGGGGAGGGAGAGCACTAGGCAGAGGAATTTACCAGACATAAAACTACTCAGTGAGATTTTAGCAACCTGTGGCTCTCTCTGCTAACAAACTCTAGACTCCACTTTTCATCTGAAAATGAAAAATGAGATAAGCTGATACTCTGCCTTTTGTTTGTTTGTCTGAGATAGTCTTGGGTAGCTCAGGCTAGCCTCAAGCTCACTATGGAGTGAAGCTGGCCTTTAACTCCTGATCCTCTTTCCCTCAAGCCACAGGACTACAGACATGCACTATCATCCCAGTCAGCAATCCCCACCTTATTTAAAGAGTTCCACTCTAATTCATGAGTATGGATCTTTTACTTCCCAATTCGACTCCAGCCCTGATTTGTATTAAAAATGAACAATGCTGTAGCCGGGTCTCATGGCCCACTCTGTAATCTCAGCTACTTGAAAGCTTGCCTGGCTGCAGAACATATTCAAGGCCAGTTTGGGCAGCTGAGCAAGACCTTGCCTGAAAATAAAAAGTAAAAGAGTAACAAAGGATCAAGGTGTTGCTCATAACAGAGCCCTTGTCCAGCATCCCCTAGGTCCAGGCCTCAACTTCTGCACTACAAAAACCATCCAGCCAACTAAACATCTCCAGAGGGGAAGTGTGTCAACACTCCTCAAGCTCATGCGGTTTACTCAAAGTTTTAGTGTTTTCTGACCCATTCTCAACTGGTGGCTTCCAACTACTAGAAACAACTGAAAAACCAACTCCGTGGAACCACCTTCTGCTGCTAGAAGATCTGGGTCAAAAGACACTAAACTGAAACCCAGATAAATTTTGTCCGATTACTATTCAAAAAGAGTGGTTTGTTTGTTTGCTTGCTTTTCATGGTGCTAGAGATGAACCCAGGTCCTTTTGTGTGCTAGGTAAGCACTCTGTCACCAAGCCCCATCCCCAGCACGAGGTTACAGGTACTGAAATCACATCAACAGCACTTTATTAGACATCCCTGAAGTGTCCCTCCTTTGCCTGAGAACAGCAGGGCCACCAGTGCCTCACTAGCCTGTGCAGTGAGAGGCAGCTCATGCTCCAACCTCCCGTGTTACCTGTGTCAAGTCTCCCTGCAACAGAAACCGCACCAGCCCCAAGAACACTGCATACTGCTTTCCTGGGCTGCTTAGTCTTCCCACCCAGCTCCCTATGGTGCAAACTAGTTTTTATGCAAATTCAAGACAGGGCCCATGCAGACTTCAGTGCAGAGAATCAGATATAAACCTTCTTTTGGGACAGAGGACAAAGAAGCAGGGCTACAGACAATAGGAATCAAGGGCAGCAACCATTTCTCAACTATGCTTGGGAAAACCTTCCTCCACCAGCCAGCAGTGAGACTCTGGCCTAGAGAATGAGAGAAACCTTAGAAAACAGACTTGCTTTTTCCAGAAGCCACTGCTTCTAGGTTATCCTGGTGCTCTTGGAAATTCACACTGTACTTGTGAACATCCTAAGTCACAGCTCCTCATACCACGAGTGGAAAAGACATTCACAGTTCCTTTTGACAAATGTAGCTCATCTCAAAACCAAAGGGCAATTCCCAGCAGATGTCCAAAACATCAGGGGATAACAAACAAGTACAGACAGGGCACTGTCTGCACAAGGGACTCCGGCCACTATCTTACCCTCTTCACCTTTATCTGGCTTACTGGCTCATCAAATCCTGGTTTGCAGTCTGCAAGGTCCTCACTTCCACACAGGGACAGACAGGACCCAAAGCTGTATCGAGCATGTGACCCAACAATGTGGCCTGTCACTTTTAACTAGTGTCATAAACAGTCAAGAACATGAACAATTTTGGGGGGCTAGCTTAGCAGTTAATGCACTGGTCTAGCATTAGGGAGGACCTAAGCTCAATCCCCAGCAACAGAAACACACACAGATTTTATTTTCTTGCAACACATAGAGCTACTGATGCATCAGGGAATGGAAATGATCATGGCGTCTGGAAAGAAATCCTCTGCTGTAACCTTTAGAGACAGAGGGTCAAGTTTTATAGTCGTTTGTAAGTGCAGCAAAGAACCCTCTCACTCAGCCTTGTCACCCTGAAGCTATAATTCCTGGGAGCCATGGAAAGGATGAATGATGAGACCTGACCAGTGGCACGGTAAGAGTCAGAAACCTCTCAGTAACTAGGAGGCAGTTATCACCCCACACACCACAGTCATGCTAGGAAACAGCTAAGGGAGGCTGAATGAGAAGTCCAGGCCACAAGATCAGCATCCCCCTCTAGAGGACTTAGACACTTGGGACTCTGACCTCATCTCTACCTGTAAGA